ATTTTTTGTCACAATCATGCCATGAATGTATTCTTTACGGTGACCATCATTTGATTAGATTTTCATTAATATTTTACATAACATGCACATTTTATCAACACTTAGACAGCTTCTGAAAGGTACAACTTTGAGGAGCCATAAAAAACAAACCAAGTGACCTAAATCTTTATACTTTATAGATTTGTGACCACAACGGCATGGGCAATGCACCACCAACAGGAAATTTGAATCAGAGGAGGGGCCGTTTTGGAAACCGGACCTTTACATAAGTGTCACGACACTTGTTTTTGTTTCCTTTTCTGTTTTATAAAACATGTATTTCGATGTTTTGTCAAACAAAATACTGACACGAGGATAAGCGATAATTACAGAATCTATTCAGTGATCCTACATATCCCAGTGATCCTACATATCCCAGTGATCCTACATATCCCAGTGATCCTACATATCCCAGTGGTAATGCACTGTCAGTTTTACAGTACACTAAATCGGGGAGTGGTCAATGAGTGCGGAGGACTTAGTCTGTTTGCTATCACCAAAACATATCGCGGGTTTACATTTCCGCCTATTAAACAACTTTTACGATAGCTTTACTCAGACCTCAAATGTTTGTTGGAACAAAAGGTGATAAAGTACTTATCCTGTGATGATGATGTCTATTGTATGCGCAATGTCATCACGTCATGCTGTTAGTGAAATCAAGCGCGACTTGTCCTTTTGATTTGAGCTTATATGCGTGATGTACGGGACAATCACTGATGATGTTAAAAGGAGCTAACATCAAGCAACACCAATAAGCGGTAACTATCGTGCCATTCCAGGGAATGTCAAAAGTCCTGTACTTTTAAAACACTCGGATGTGAGTAATACATAAACGGAGAGTTTTTGTTTGAATCATGTCATAATGCTTTAATGTGTGCATAATTTGCTTATTAATTCAGGAAACTATATACAACTTTAGATTTCTTTTCGTGATATGAGAAAATAGACACAAGAAAATACTAGAGAACAAAGTGAATAAAACCGTATTTTGAACTCGACCAACAAGGGCAGAAAAGGGATAAAAAAAAAATTACATGGAGACCTTGAAAAAAGTAGATTAAAACCGTATGTTCCAAAAGGATAAACGTCTTCTGCTTCGTATGTCAATAAAAGCTAGGTAAAATCCAATAAACGCATGGTCCTAAAAATCAGAAAAGAGGTGGAAAAAAAATCAATAGGCTACACTCATGATCGTGATAAAAAAAAAAAACATCTACCTCCATATCGCACACGTAAATATAGTGGGTTTTTTCAGTCAGATCATAATGAAGACAATCAAACTACCCATAATCTTCCTCCAACTGTATCTCCTAAAACGTAGCTGTAGCGACCGTCAGCCGTCACTATCTATTACAGAAATGGTAATATTCAGAAAAGCGTTACATACTGAATCAATTGTGAATTTAAACACTGTAGGTGTAGGAAGTAGGATTGTTACTATCAAGGAACGGAAATTTCACGATCAAGAAATCAAAATCCACAAACAGCAAACGTTATCAACGTATGAAAAGAAACAGCAAGAACTGAGAGGATGAAAAAAACCACGGACAGACATTATGATCTCAAATAAAACATGAAAAGTACAGTGTGATTCATGCCGTTGTCGTACCAACAGTATCCCATCCAACATCAGTGTAATTAACCATTAACCGTTTTAAAGATTGCCTACGCCAATGCAAAACAATGGATAAAGTCGTCAGATACAGTGTTCTCTCTAATGTTGATATCCGCTTTAGAAACGAAGTAGTTACAGAATCAGAATAATTATAGAATACTCTCTTATGATTTACCAGTTGTGATACCTCAGATGAGACAGTATAAAACCAACGGAACATGTTGTTATATGTTTATCAGAGTATCAGTCAAGATAAGGTAGTTAGAAATGGTGGCGTATTCATGTTTTACTCTGTGTCTTTATAATTTCATGTCATTTCATTCTGGTATCAGATTTTATTTATGACTTATTTGTTACAAAATTTGTATTTCCAACCTTTTTGGCCCCTAGTTCACCGATGAGTCCTAGAAGGACGAAATAGCTGTATGATGCAGTATAATTCATGTTTGCATACTGTATCTATTACCAAATTTTAAGTCACCTGTGTAGTGTACTGTATGTGTTACGTTCAATCAACCATAAATCCCGTGGACTCTCAAAGAAAAAATAATTTAAGAGCCTCTGCATTTATTCCATTTTTGCTATACCTGTGTATATGCCCTCTTTTATGGAGGTATCTTGTATTTTACGTGCTTGTTATATAAACAGCTGTTTTATGGGTTATCAACGTCATATTAGATACAATATCGTTGTGATCTATGAACATCATATATCAGGAGACTTCTGCTCTGTGTCAGAATGTGGTTATAAATACTTAGAAGGTGAATTATATTGCCATCATTATAAAACTAAATCATCATTGTCTATTAAATGAACGACGAACTACACGCCCTGAAATAGTCTACCCACACACCTGACCTCTCCATTGACATGAACAAGAAGAAACTATGTAAGTATTGATCAAGTAATGACAAACTTCCAAGGTATATAATCATTATCATTTAGTCACAGAAAGGTGATATATCTATGTCATATAGATATTATCCTTTCTTAATACGAGTTGACAGCTCCATATCCAAGATAGCTGATTTTGCAAATGTGTTTAACCTTAAGACGGAGAAGGATTATGAAGAACATTATTTTTCAAGGTTGTTCCCAATGCCTTTTTGAGTCATCTTTCAGGTTGGATTGTTGTTCTTATTTCATTTTCGTTCTATTTACCGACTAATGATGGTCAGAAGAAAACTGAAATTGGCATAAAAGGACTACAACATGAACCAATGAAACGACCAAAAACACGACAATGTGAATCTTTAATGAAAGGATGTGTAACCGTTTCCGGTGCCACATGTGACATTTGTAATGATATTCACGTCAAAGTTAATTACAAATGATTACGGGTTCAAACTTTTTTGTGGTATAAGGGTTACCAAGTTTTCCTAATAGATAGTTTATATTACCCTGTAGCCAGGAACGGGTTGTTGACATAGTCAGTGCAAGGTGTCCTGCGAACTCCCACTTCCTGCTATGTAAGGGGACTATGTACTTTAGAGTATGTCAACGGGACTCGTTATCAGGCGACTTTAGATCAATCTTACACGGTCTAGACCACTGGCACAAACGTCCACGTGACATAAGCACGCATGCACGTGGAAAGATAAGCAATTTGCACAATTTTCTTTAACTACGGAGGTATTCTTCGACATTTTTTATCATTGTCTCTTTCATCACTAATACAGCCTACAGGAACTAGCATATGTCATTCAAAGTTTAGACTAATGGAGGAGAGTATAAAGCATTTGACGGTTGACGGTTGAATATTTTTAGGGGTAATTACCATTGATAAAGCCATTTATAGCATGTATGTACTGATCAAACTGACAATTCGATAATTACTGCAATGTTCCATTGGCTGGGCACTGATCAAATCATAAAGAATTAGTATATCAATGAAGAATCGTAAAAATATCTTTGGTTTCCTGCATGACACATGAAAAGATGTTTGCCTCGTGCAAAGGAACTGCAATAGAAAGCACTTCATGTAAATTGTGGTCGACGCTAAGTAGCATTTATCAGTTCATAAAACAACCAAAAGCAAATGCAGTCGTTATATTTACACTAATCCTCTATTTCAGGCGTTCTTTTACTAAACATTTTATAGCAAAGTTAGAGTAATATTGTATATCATCGTACATGTGTGATCACATCGAGAACACACAATTTAAGTGTAAGATAGTCTGCATTGGGTAAATTCTTCTTTATCTGTTAGGTTTGAACACTGATAAAACTGTTTC